ACTAAGCTATGATCTCATCTTGCTTGTTCCTTTTTTCCACCTCGAGCTCCCTTTTTATCCCTGCTCGAGTAAACAACAAGGCAAACTTGAAAAGCCCTGATGCCGCACAGAGTCTGCTGATGTTCTGCATCCTACCAGAGCATGGCCCGTTACTCCCCTCTATACTCGGTGTCTATAGCTGTGACTGCTATCCAATGGCTTGATATTCACTGTTGGTGATTGGATTGTTCCTAGAAATGCCATTCAACATCCTCTCCGTGGCTTTCCATGCCTCCTTTACTGCCGTTTCTACCGGCGTAACGCATGTATGTCCCGTAAAGCTTTCAAACTTCGGCCATGCAATGCTAACACGATTTTCTCTTGAGTAGTATCTCGGCAAGAAGCCTGTCAAAACAGAGCCTGCTGCGCATTTCTCATACCATAGCGGACTTGAGGTTGTTCGGCGGTTCCTCGAGCATGCATCGCGCCATACGGTTGAAGAACTTCAAGCCTTTACCGGCCAGAAAGTGCCAGCGTCGTATTGGGTGGCAACTGGGAGCGTCATTATCCCTGCAGAGCACATAGAGTCTGCAGCTCACATTCTCGTTGCACAGCTAGGGCCAGAAGGCGTATCCCTAGTTGGTGGGAGCAGGTGGTGGCAGTGGAGGGACACTGAGGCGGCCCTTGTTGCAGAGTGGCTTGAGACTAGAAGAGATTATAACGACCGACGGGCGCGGAACGCCAAATCGAACCGTATTATTCTCTATATCCATGGCGGCGCATATTTCTTTGGTAGTGTGGAAACCCACAGATACCAGTTACAGCGACACGCCCGCAAATTAAAGGCTCGTGTTTTTGCTCGGTGAGACTTACATTTCCTCCATCCAAGTTGATATGAATGCTAACTGCCTTGCTAGTAAGTTCCCTACTCTTCTTTCATAAGTTATTAGCGTCTATGAACCATACAGTTAACTATCGAAACCATAGCTCGATTTCGATTAGCTCCACAATTTCCATTTCCATGTGGGCTACATGACTGCCTTGCAGCTTATTTGTATCTAATAACCATCCAAAAACCAGAGGAGATTATAATAGCTGGTGACTCCTCAGGTGGCGGGATGGTGATGTCGTAAGTATATGACTCGTGCATATAATATTTGTAAAGCTAACTTAGATGTAGGATGCTAGTCACACTCCGTGATCAAAAATTTCCATTACCTGCTGGAGCTGTTCTGATATCCCCTTGGGTTGATTTGACGCACTCTTTTCCAAGCGTTGCTGGTACTGGAGTGCATGATTACATTCCCATTTGCGGGTTTAGGCACCGACCGTCAACTTCATGGCCTCCCCCAAGCGCGGACGAATATGGAATAGAGTCAACGACAGGTGAGAAGATTCTTAATAAGATCAATTCACCTCCCATGGTGGACAAGCCATCAATCGCCGACACCAAAGCTATCGAAGACTTTTATACCAGTCAGGCCTGTGCCACAGCTCAGTCGGCTCATGTTGAGGATTACACAACTTCTGAACTTCAAGAGTCAAACGGCCATCGTCGAAACACCCAGATGCTGGGCGAGCATCTCCGAGTTGAAATCGACGGTGCAACTATCGAAATTAAAGATCAAATTCACCTATATACGACTAACGAGCTTATATCACACCCCCTGGTATCTCCTGTTCTCCAACCATCTCTGGGAGGCCTGCCACCGCTACTTGTTATATCTGGTGGAGGGGAACTCCTTCGAGATGAGCAGATATATCTTGCACATAAGGCAGCGAATCCAGAAGCATACCCTCCCAATGACGATATCCTCGCCAAGTATGACCCGGACCGTAAAATACTGTCCCAATACAAACCTACTTATGTACAACTTCAGGTTTGGAATAACATTTGCCACGTTGCACCGACCCTGAGTTTCACGCGGCCGGCAAAATATATGTATAGATCAGTTGCCCAGTTTTCCGCCTGGGCCCTATCAAGAGCACAGGAGTCGAGTATTGATATACCAGACTCATCCCCTACCTCATCTGGTGACTTATTATCAAACGCTGAGGAAAAGAAAGCTTCAAATAAACAAACTACTGAACCAGAGCTAGCTCGACATGCAACCATTGGGAAAGCTGGTGACCCAATACCGCCATTTCAAAACCATATGATCCGCCAATTGATTGATTCGGAGGGCCATTTGCTCCCACTTCCTGACGAACATGACCTTCCCGCTCTCCAAGTCCCGCGAAACCACATTGGGGTACCAAAACCCATACCGGTTCGCCGCTGGCTTGCCGCCAAAGAAGAATGGGACTCCAAATTCGTCAAAGAAAAGCGTAGAGTACAAAAAGAGCGACTGAAACGGATTCCTATCGGAATTGATGATATAGCGCCTGGAGACCGTCCTCCACCTAGCTCACGGGCTGCACAACGAGGAGTTACTGTCAGTGAAGTACGGCAACCAACGAAGAAAAGTATCATGCTGTCGTTCTGGAACAGATTAGGTGCAATTCACGATGCCAAAGTTATGGAAAAGGAAAAGAAAAATAACGTTGAAAATAAGTTTCCAACTCTGTGGCGAGGGGGTGTTCAAGATAAACAGCAAGCTGCCGCCGATGCCTCACTGCCAAGTGGACAAAGCAAAACTCAGGTTGTTACGGATATTGGTCAATCCAATGAGTCACAGCGGGATTTTACTACGAAGCCTAGTAGGGCGATTCCAGAAGCATCTGTACCACAAATCTGGAGATCCCCTAGCAGTGAAGAGCTTGGGAGAACACGCTCTCCACGTCTAAATAGCGAATCCCAGGGGGTTGTTAGTGATGAAGGCCGGGGTCAAAAAGATGAATCGCCTGTTGACTCACTACTTGATGAAGCAAGTATACGGACAATTCGACACTCGAAGGGAATAATCAGTCCTCCACCTTCAGCTGCCCCTCTATCCGACTACCAATCTGTGCTAGAGCCTGGGCCATACAGCGGCGACAAGACAACCGTTGGCGGACCAACACAGAAGAATGAAGGTACCTCTGGAGAGTCAGATGAAGTCACTCAGGATTTACCTGGGGAGGTTGTAAATCGCATGAATAGGAATAAACTGCCGATGTTTGACTTTGAGTCAGCAACAGGCAGCAATCCGCGGCGGGAGCTGGAACCATTCTCTTCCTCACTGAATGGAAGTGGTGGTGGTGCTCGGGATAACCAGAGCGGGTATTCCAGCAACTACAGCCAACAATCATTCTCTGGTCCGGGTAACGGTGGGTTCCGCTGAAGATGATGGTAATTGTGATCTGAAATGAATCTATCTATCAAGAAGGTATGGCGGCTACATTAAAGATTATCAAATAGCGACCCAAATACTACCCTTGGGGTTTTAATTTTAATTTGCCATTTACTATTTGTGTTATATACTATACATTAGGCTAAGTTTAATCTCGGTTTCATATAATAACAGTCAGGTGTTTACAAGGCGATAAGTATACTTAAAGGATATAGAGCCTCATCTTGAAGCTTGAGGGTGTCTCCGGCAGGCAAGCAGAATCATACAAAAGATATATGCGAGGTGACACTGAATGAATAGTATGAGGGTATTATTCGCTTCAGACCTGTCTCACCATTTGAGTCCGACTTTTTCTGCAACTTTCTTCGATACATCCAAGAAAGCATTCCGGCGAGCGCTTCTATCATCGCTTTCTTCAGCCACGACAGTAGGCATACCCCTATCTGCATCTTCACACACGCGCGCATCAAGAGGGATGTCTCCAAGGAAATCAATACCAAGGCGTTTACAGGCCGCAACAACTCCGGTATTCTCACCATGACTGAGCTGGTGTCCTTCATCTCCCGCGGCGTGGTTGTTCGATCGTGAGAATATCTTAGTCTGCTTTCCACAATGTGGGCAAGCAAAATAAGCCATGTTCCGTATCATTCCTAATACAGGGACATTCATCTTTTCAAACAAGCCAAATCCTCGAACTGCGTCTCGTAGAGCAATATCCTGCGGCGTAGACACGATGACAGCACCATCAACAACTACCTCCTGGTTGATGGTAAGCTGCACATCTCCCGTTCCCGGCGGAAGGTCTAGTATGAGCACATCTAGCGGGCCCCATGAAACGGAATGGAGAAGCTGGTTCATTGCCTTGCTGACCATGAGTCCTCTCCAAGATATGGGAGTGGTATCCATGAGCGGCGAGCTAGGGTCATCTGTCAGGTGTCTCACATCTTCAGGCGGTGGTGGGAGCAAATATCCCATAGACATCGATTTCAGGCCATAATTGGTCAAAGGGATGAGGCAGTTATCTGAAAGAATTGAGAGAAAAGGAGCGCTCAGCTATTTGCATCGGTGATGGGGTCAAGGAGAAGACATACTCCCGTCCAGACGCGGTTCTCCAGATAGATTAAGAAGCGTAGGTATGGATGGTCCAAATATATCTGTGTCGAGAATTCCAGTCCGGAAGCCTCGTCTTGCCAGTGACAGCGCAATATTCACTGTCCAGTCCAGCCTTAGCCCTGAGCCCAAAATATACCATTGACATTCTAACCTGCAATTGTAGATTTCCCGACCCCTCCTTTTGCCGATGATACAGCAACGACCTTATTAACATCCTTTATCCTCCGTTTCTGGGGCAGCCCACGGCGGCTTTGAAATGTTGGTGGTGTCCCAGACCTGGGCAGTCCCTAGAAGTTAAAACATGCATTAGCTAGAGGTCTAAGGATAGAATTGATGGAGATAACATACTAGTGGGTTTTCATGCTGAAGCTGGCGGCAGGTGGAAAAAAAGGCCCGCCGCATGGTAATCGCACTCCGTTCGAGAAGCTGTAACAGTTTATCCTGTCCTCCGCGCCGTTTCTTCTTGCGATGGATGTTTTGAGATGCTTGAAGTTGCGACTCGGCAAAACTTGCTCTGGCGGCTGTGAAACTCAAAAGGAAATTTTTCCCGAAGTTTTTCTTGATAAGAAAAAAAAAAAGCTCAAAGGTAGATGAACAACTTCGATAACAGTGACTTGCTATGCTGGAAGGCTCACAATGTCTGTGAAGAAAGGACGAGATAAAACGTTGGCAGAGCAGATAGCTGAGCTCGAAGATCCCACTCCCAAAGGTACGCCCCCTAATTGCTAGCTATGTGAGATACTGGTTGAGCAGTGGACTAATAATGCAACGACAGAATTCGACCCGGAGGATCAGAGTGACGGCGCTCAGGAGAGTGACAGCGACAGTGGTAGCGATGCTATAGATCTTGATACTGGGAGAGAGCATTATGAAGCCGTGAGGTATGCTGCAGAAAATCCATTTCCAGTATTTACTTACTAACAGACCAGCAGCAAGAGCAAACTCAGAAAAGCAGAGCAGATAGAGCTAGGAAGCGAATATGCTGGATCGCGGGTTAGTCGACACGATTTGAATGGATATGACTCCAGCGGATCAGGGTCTCTGGAGGAGAGAGAGAGTGAAGGAACCGACGATGGTTTTAGTGACGCATTTTCCGCAAGTGAGGAAGATGAAGATCAAGACATGACTGCCGGATCCGAGACGGATGGCGTGGAATCATACGAAGATGATGAGTCTGGGTCTGATATGTTTGGCGAAGATAATATGGAGGAGGAACCACGAAAGAAATCGAAATCAGAATCCATGAAGACCGCTGACAACGACCGCGAAGAACTGCGACGACTGATGGCCAGTGGGGATAAGATCGTGACCGCATCAATATCACAGGCCGCCAAAGATGATGCTGTTAAAGGTACAGCTGTTAAGAAACAGAGACTTACATTCGATGCGTTGCTGAACTCCCGGATTAAGCTACAGAAGGGTCTCACTTTACTCAATGGAGAGACTTTACCTGCAGACGAGACTGAAGACCTGATAAAGTCTGCTGAAACGGCTGCGTTATCTCTATGGAATATGCTGGGTGACCTTCGACAAACACTCGCAGAGCACCAGGCTGCAGGTGACGCTAACCAAAAGAAACGCAAGAGGACTGCTCCTGCAACAGTAGAGACAAGCTCGGCAGACATTTGGGGCCAGATGTGTGAACTTGAAGCCCAATCTCTCTCACACAGACGTGGAGTGCTCGATAAATGGTCTCGAAAGGTTCGCGGAGCACGTAGCAGCACTCTTTCTAATAACAACCGGGGCAAGCTGTTGAATACCAGCTCAGACGAGCAGAGCATGACCGCTGTTTTGGAGACGTATGTTTCTAAAGAGAGCAGAAGTGATAAGTCATCTGCTTCCAACACCAATTCTGAAACGCGAATAGCATACGATGACACAGCGTTCTATCAGTCACTTCTCCGTGACTTGGTTGAGCAACGCATGGCAGCATCTGCCAATGGTGGAGTTATCCTGGACTCGATATCTACTCAGCTTCCCAGGAGTGGGACTACAAATCCCATTACAGGAATGCGCAAGGACAAGGTGAAGCGGACAGTAGATACCAAGGCTTCCAAGGGACGAAAAATGAAGTATAATGTGCATGAGAAACTACAGAACTTCATGGCTCCGGAGGATCGCGGCTCATGGTCCAATCGAGCCAGAGACGAATTTTTTGCTTCATTGTTGGGTCGAAGTGTGAGTAATGTACTAGGCGAGGATGAATACAGTGATAATGATGGTGAGTCTGTGGATGACGATGCCGAAGGAGGGTTAAGATTGTTTAGAAGTTAGCCCTATCGACAGCTGATAGAAAAGGATGGGTTTGAGCAATGCTATATAGAATGACAAATGCATATATAATCATTATAATTACCAGCATGAGACCACCGAGCGTGTTTGTATTTTCTTTTAATAGTAACAATGTGATTGATTCAATTGGCCAGCCTCCCGAGCGCCATAGAAAAATGCAGTGCTTGCCGCGATCCTGCGCTGTGACCAAGTTAGCCAGGGACTTTGAAGGAAATATAAAACCACGGCAGAGACACGGGGAATATGGAGTAAGGAACTATGCAAAAAAAACAGACGAAAGGCCTAGTAGACGTCATCTTCTTGACTATAAGTGTGACGGCTACGGGTAGGATCCTTGCGCATCTGCTGCCCCGAACCGGTAAAGCCAACTAAGACGAAACCCAGTTAGTAAATCTAAATCGACAAGCATTGGAGGAGAATACAAGTCATACCTCTTGCATTTATTCCTTCTGGTGTCCTGAACATGGATTCCTTCTTGACCTTTCCGAATTTACTCTTGCTCGTAAAATCCTGCCACTTGTTCTTGCCGGCTTCCAAGTCTTTCTTCCGTTTCACCTTGCGAGCGGCCTTTGACGGCCGTGGTAAGCCATCATTCTGGCCGGCCACATTCCTTGCCTGATTGGCGAGGTCGGGGTTGATATCAGCTGCTGCTGAGATAACACTGGATTCGGCGCCTACATGTGAACCGGCGCTACCGTCATGACCCGTACTCGAACTGTTGATGTTGTTGGGGGCTAAACTGCCTGGTGATGAGGATATATTATCAGCTTTTCGCTTTTTCGAGTCAGGAGCAGAGAGAGGGCGGATATCCTTTGCCGTCAAGGTCTCAATAGTGGAGTATGACTTGAAGGAGACGATGTAGATGGGGTTAGTGGCTGAGCCAGTAAGGGAAGTGATGCGGGCAGGGTAAAAAGCGCCATCACCCGATGTCCAGCGGGCGAGGACGTTGTCGTTGACGCAAAATGAAGCCGGCTGAGTCTGCTCCTCCTGCGGTGGGGTAGCGTCTGCGGCGGCTGTCGGAGCTGGAGGGGCTGGTTTGCGGTATCCAGCCTGGTACGCGGGATGATTCTCCTTGGACCACTTCTCCTTGACTGGTTCTGGGGCTGGCTGAGGCTCGGTTGGGGGTCGTAGTTCGTCGATGGATTGTTTGGTAAGTGCTATGAGTTCTTCCAGCTCTGTTTTTAGACTCTGCAGTTCTGTGTTATCAGGGTCGACCTGCAAGCTGGACTGTACCGTTTCGAGCTAAAAAAAGAAAAAGCGTCAGTAATTCCATATTCTAAGCATAACAGGGGGGATATCAGTACCTGTAGCATAAACTCCTTTACCTCCGCCTCCATAGAAGCAACGTCCGTCATGATGTCGGTGTGCTGAGCAGACGGCCACTGGCGTCAGTTTTCAGTGGTATCGTGGGCTTGATGGTTTCAACAAGGACAAAAAGAGGCAGCTGATGAGAAATAAAGAAAAAATATAGCCTGCCTCCGCCTTTCTCGAAGATAACGCCTTTAATGCTCTTTTCGTGATCTACTTTGGCCTTCTTCATCGTCTTTTCCTGGCGGCTTTTCGATGGTCGCCAAGGTGGAAATTTAGTCACGTGATTGTGATATGTCACATGACTTATGGATTTTGAGTCATGTGACATTTAAAAATCACGTGGATGATAATCAGATAAGAGCTTGAACTTTATCTTTCTAATTTGTCAGCAAACCGCGGACCTCTTAAAGCGGCGGGCGATCGTCCCGCTTTCGGCCTTCGGCGCTTGCTGGCCCAAAGAAGAAATTCTCGACGTCAGCTTCAGCTTCAGCTTCGGCTTGATCCTCAGCCTCGTCGCTCGCTTTTGATATCTCGACGATCTTGCTCTGAAAGCAAGCAATTATTAGTCGGCTCTCGTTCCCCCGGTTGCTCCGTTGCTGGCGCTGTGCGTGTCAATCATCCCTGGCTACTTTTAGCCGCGGCTCGAAGTGTTACAGACGGTGAAATACGAGACCCCCCGTTCTCGGCCTCCCGCTAACGAGCGCCCTTCAGGCTTCAGCCACCTGCGTGTTACCTCCGGCCAGCTGTCCACAGACGGGCGATGTCACCGCGTGAGAGCTGATCTCAGTCGCTGTTCGCCTGTTCCACCGTCTTCTGCACACTTCGAACCCGCAACGCACCATCCTGGCCCTTGTCCTAGTCCTTGTCTGGTTGTACCGCAATTTGGCCGGCAGCTTATTCTCCCTTCGATCGCTGCCTTCCACCGTTCTTCCAAGCCTGACCGTTTTTGCCTGGCCATCGTCAAGGTCATCATTCTTCTGTCCTGCAATTCTAGAAGACGCGGAAAAGAAAAAGACTGCTCAGTCACACCCTGGACAGCTTCTAGAACACATTGCAATTATCTCTTTCAGATACCGCTGCTTTTGTCCTTCCCACCACCCCACGCTTGCCCACGGGGACGAGTAACTCCGGCTCATCTCCTGCTTGGAGAGGCCCATCATTTCACCCACTTGACCGGATCTACTTGAAGTATCACTTCCGTCATTTTTTTTTAGCTCTCAACGTCCACCCTCCTCGAAATGGCAGAATTCGACCCTTCCTTCCAGCGTAGCCTCTATCTATCGCCCGACCAGCAGGATTTGCTCCTCGCTGCCCTCTCATCCAATAGCCAGCCAACCAAACCTGGTCCTCAGCCCAATCACCACTCTGCCAACGGCTCATCTGGAAACGACATCTTTGACTCACCTCCTCAGGATATTCCAGGCTCCGGTCAACTCAGCTTCAATCCAGACGACAGCCCATTCCTTGGACTCGACCTAGATACTGAATTCGATGTCTCAGATCAAGCCTTGATTGGAGACCTCCCTGGCATAGAAGGTGAACAGCAGATCGCCGCTGAACCTCGCGAAAAGAGAAAGAGTCTTGACGGTGGGGAGGGTGCAGATACAGGGAAAAAGCGCAAAGAAAATGAAGAAAAGGTTGCGAAGAAACCTGGGAGAAAGCCCTTAACTTCAGAACCAACAACCGTGAGTATCTCCTGAGACTTGCTCTTCCCTTACATCCCCTATTAACGTTACTAAACGGTTTTGGTCATAGAAACGGAAAGCTCAAAACCGAGCTGCACAACGAGCGTTCCGCGACCGCAAGGAGAAGCATCTCAAGGACCTCGAAACCAAGGTTGCTGACCTTGAACGCGCCTCTCAAACCGCAAATCAAGAAAACACGTTACTCCGTGCACATATCCAGCGTCTCCAAGTCGAATTGAAAGAATACCGCAAACGGCTATCATGGATCAGCAGTGGCAACAGCTTTTCCCCAACAACTAGCTTGCTAAACCAAGCGAGAAGCCTGCACGCTCAGTCTCGCTTGAACAATGATTTTTCGTTTGATTTTCCCAAGTTCGGCGACCTCCCTGGGGCTCATATGAACAATATGGGATCGTTGGCGAAGGGAACCCCCAATGCTCGCAGCCAGACACATCCAGCCCTAGGGATCAAAGCTACCAGCCATATTGGAGCCACTCCACAGTTCACGCCGTCAAACGGCAGTGCATTCAGACAAAACGGCCAATCTTCCACCGCAAATAAAGGCCATGAAGCTCCTGGCAGCACCTACAACTCGCACAACTTTGAAACCTCCCCTGCTACATTCTCCGAGTCGCCCTCGGCTTCGTCAGAGTCTCAGCACATTTCATCGATATGCACGTCCCCCGAGTCTAGCCTTACATCGCCTACCATCGCACAGAAGGGAGATACATCCAACTCTGCACAGGCCAACGGCAACGGGAACGCAAAAAAGAACAGTCCTTCACAGTGCGAGCTGAAATTTTATCAGCAGCTAGGCGAAGCATGCGGTTGCGTTGATAACCCCATCCCCGCAGCCCTTGCAAAGAAGTCAAACCAGGGGTCTACAAACCCCAAAAGCCCAGAAAATGCAGCGAGCACCCTTTCTCCTGCAAACTCAACGCCAACTATGAGCACCAGTACTGCATCTGAAAATACAAACAATACCCAAACTGTATCTGATCCCAGCGGGAACGGTTCCGCAACCGCATCCTCCAACGTGCTCTCTGACCCCTCCATCCCTAGCTTTGACTGGCTCGCGCAGCAGAATGGCGGCCACTTTGACCCGGTCCTGTTCGGCGATTATCGCGACCCACAGGACGCTGTTCTTTCTCAGGATTTCAGCGGGTTCTTTGACGATGCTTTCCCTCTACCTGACCTAGGCGCATCTGATGCTGCCACCCCCGGCTCCACAACTAAGACAACTGGAAAGACTGATGCCCCAGTCACCACGGTAGATATAGATGATGACGAAGAGGTGGTACCGGGCGAAGACAGATCTCAGATGCTTTCCTGCACTAAGATATGGTCAGTTCCTGCCGTCAAATCGGTTGATTCCAACGATAGTTCGTCTAACCCGGTTTCTAGGGATCGTCTTCAACGACTGGAGAAATTCCGCAACGGTGAAATTGATGTCGACAACCTTTGCACTCAACTCCGTACCAAAGCCCGTTGCTCCGAGGGCGGTGTGGTCATTGACCAAAAGGACGTCGACGATATCGTTACCAGAGCGATTTGATTTTTGTTCGTTGATTCGAGATTGAAAACTGCATACCAGTCTCCCGCTTTGAAACAGGAATCAGACTCCTCGATTGATGGCTATTCCCTGTTTGCGTTCCGCTTTACACGCCAGTTCGCTACATCTTTTGCTGCTCTGCTATTCTCCTTGTTCTCGATTTTGTCCAAATATTTGTTTTTCAAGCTCCTCGAGGTTTTGGCTACATGCCCACTTCCCAAGGATCATCCGCAGACGGCTCCTCTATAAGGACGATTACGATGGTCTATATACCTCTATATTCCTTCTTTTATTTCTCATGAACGTGAACAAAATAACCTCCACCTGATTTATTTCTTGATCTTTATTGACATCATCTCCCCCGTGTTGGTTTGGCAGATTTCTTTGATTTTTTGACTTGCTTTGATCCTTGTTGAAATATGTATATTCTCCTACCTGCAGGACAAGGGCGATGGGATATAACAGGGAGTATAGTTGACTGCCGTAGCTACGGCTGTTTTCTTGTCCTTTCGTTATACTACATGGTATCCCCGATTTACTTTACAACACAGAAAGGCGCGAGTGGCCCAGATGGATGGACTGGTGTACGGATGGACTGCATATTTAGCGTCTATAGCGTTTGATTGTTTTAATACAGAAGAATCTCTATCTCCAGATATTGAGAACCTTAGCATGTGGAGGCCAGCTTTGGCTACAGCAATAATGCAGGTGATCTGTAAATATAGGATTTTGATCATGATAAACGGAAAGGCATTCGTAGTTAAGAGTCCAAGCAATACAAAGACATCTACATTTATATTAGATTTGGGAACACTTTACTGGTGATCAAGTACGCGAGCTGCCAATATTAACTAGTTAGGGAACCTACTGGTCAGAAGGAAGCTGATTAACATATTGAGTACAGGATTTAAGGTATCTCAGGTTCGGGGGGTCGAGGAATGGATAGAACAATGTTACGTTTAAAGGGGATATAAATAATTGGGAATAAAGAGAAGCAGAAGAGGGAGCGTTTTATGGAACAGTTTTGACATAGAAAAACAGGGGTAATAGGATTTCGAATAGTAATGGAGCAAGGTGTTAGAGGGTACGAGGACAAATATGGAGGCGACAGTAAGGAGAAGGTAAAAGAGTAAGTAGACAGGATACATCCCCCGAGAATGCACGGAATACGGATATCTAAACAGCGATGTTTCGGCACGAAATCAATCATGACTCGGTGGCCGAAGGAGTGGGCTTGTCTCCCGCAGGGGCTGGAGTAGATGCAGGGGAGCTCGATTCACCAGCTGCTCCCTTGTATCCCATGCCTCGTCCACCACGGCCACTACCTCTTCCGCCTCGCTCACCACCACGTCCGCCTCTTCCACGTCCTCCAAATCCTCCTCGGCCTCCTCTACCGCCCTCGCCGTCACTGGCTGCGCTTCCGCTCTGGTAGCCGCTGCGAGTGTTTGCTGACGAGCCACCGCGGCTGCTGGCCTGCCATGTGCCGGCATTTCCTTGGCCATCACGGTTGGAGGAACGGTGTGAAGCCCGGTCTTCGAAGACCTTGACATTAGGCTTTCGGTTAGGTCCAGCAGGGCTGGGTTTCTTGTGCTCCAATGGCTGTCTCTCGAGAGCAAGCTTGGAGTCTTCTGGTGTAGCAAAGGTGACTACATAGTTGAATTTGCCCCATTTCTCGATCTTGACGATCTTCGCTCGGTCTTCTTCAGGCCATAATTGTCGAACTGCCTCCTCGGTGTCTACGTTGGAGATGAAGAGGCCGCAGGTTAGTTTTTTGTCCGTGGAGCTAGCCGATTTTGAGTCTGCTTGTCCTGGCTGCTGGGCAGAGCCGTTGGCTTCGGATGCAGAGTCCCCGGCAGATGGAGCTTGTTGTTGTTGTTGTTGCTGTTGTTGCTGTTGTGGTGCGGGAGTTCCGGCGAGAGGGGTCACTGGCTTGGGGGTTGCTGGTTTCTCCTTGTTGGCGCCGATGGGAGCAGGAGAGGCGGTAGACTTAGGTGGCAGAGGCGGCTGTTGTTTACCTTGGTTGGGGGTTTGTGCGGAAGAGACCTGGGGAGGATACTGGTTGCCGGTGTTCCGTGATGGTTGGGCCGGTATCTGCCCAAATTGCGGTGGCGCTACTCGGGTATGTGGAGGTCCTCCTGGCCCTCCGGATGTGCCTCCTGCAGCACCAGAAGGATTGGTGAGCGCTGGAGGAGCAGCACCAGTCTGGGGAGCACTGGTAGTAGTAGGTTTGCCGCCTCGGTGAGAGAAGTTGAAGCCCTGGGCGCGCATCTCGGTACCGATTCGGCCGCCCTCGATATCGAGGACCAGGTATCCAAACGCAGCGTCAGCCAGGTTGAAGTTCCACAGGTTCTTGAAGGCACTCTCATCCACTTGGCCGCCAGCGTTGCTTGCTGTTACTGGTCCGCCGAATGGGTTACCTCCGTTAGCAATGCTAGGCATCTTCTGGACAATGTCCAGGGCGTTGTCCAGCAGAGTCTTTTGGGCTTCATTTGCATTTATGGCGGACTCAACTTCACCGCGGACAGTATCCCAGACATCGTTGAAGGAGGCCTTGGAGGCAGCCAGTTTACCGCGGTAATGGTCTAGGGTCGGGTTGACGCTGAATTCGTTGTAGGAGCTGCCGTATCTGAAGTGCAGGCCGGCAGAGATGGAGAAATCGGCTTTGAGGGTGACGGAGAGCTGGTTCAGCATGCCCTCTCTGGCAGGGGATGCATGAGTGACGAAAATACGGGTCTCTGCAGGGTCGTAGACACGGTTGGCAGTATCAACTAGCTCGCCCATCTGCAGCAGGGTGGTCCACATGGTACCCTGGCCACCGGCAATGGTCGTCTTGCCCTCACCGTTGTCGAAGAGCTTGTGCATAACAATTGCGCCTCCGAGGCCAAGCAGACGAAGCTTGACCCCGCCGATATCTAGTAGTCTCGAATTGGCCTCATCGATGATGTGTAGCTTGTCGACCTTGTACTCGCCAGAGCGGAACTTTTCCAGCACACGGACATCCTCACAGGCGCCCCACACGGTATAAACTGGCACATCGAGGGTCATCTGCTTGTTAAGGAGGAGGGGGAGTTCGGAAAGTGGGAGCTGCTCGGGACTGAACCGCTGCTTGATAGATTGCTGGGGAGGTACCTGAGCAACGCTGCGCTTAATGGGTTCTGGGAGCAAAGGAGAGTACTGTGCAACATGTTTAAGGGTTCTACACAGGAGCAACAAGGAGTCAGTATGTGCGGAGAGGGAGACGGGGCAGGAGAGAGATAGAATAGCTGGCTTACTTGTCTGCGATTCTCTCCAGAGAGCTATCATCGTAAAAACCAAAGTCACCCGTGTGGATGATGTGGTCAGCTCGAGCTTGTTTGGCGAGTTCATTTAACGACTTGAGGTTTCCTGCAGCAGCATTTCATCACTCCATGTTAGATATTAGGACAGCAGACAGGTAGCGGCAAGCATCAAACTTGTATATTCCCCGTATTCTCACGGAAAAGAAAAGCAGGCGTAGCAATGAGGTGTTAACTGGGGCTAGGTCCTCACCTCGCACGTCCGCAATACAGAGGATCCTCACAGCTCCATTTTGAATGATCCTGCCGTTGTTTGGTAGCAGCGGCGTCGCCCCCGGAGTTGGCACCACCGTCGAACCGTTCGGCAGGGTATAGGGAGTGCTCGTGAACGCGTGAGGAGGATGGGGCTACAGCAGAGACAGAAGACAGGGTCAGTCGGCTCCGCACAGCCAGCGAAGGGGGGGAGGAGGGAGAGGGGGAGCGCCTGGTCTTTGCTAGCATCGCAGCGCTGCGGCAGACTTACTGAAGCCATGGATGACGGTTTGACAGCGGACTTTCGATTCGTTGAGAGAGACAGACAGACAGCTCAGGCGGCTTCTCACAGCAGAGACAGCGAGAGCGAGGAGAAGAAGAAGAGAGAGAAAGGAGCGAGGGAGCTTCGGGTTTGGGTTGTTGATATTTCTTGAGATGCAGCGAGAGAGCGAAATTTGAAGGTGTAACTAAATAGTCTCTGCGTGGTTGTCTCTTCTGCTTCTTGTTCGCAGCAAACGCACCAGCCACGCCCGCCGCCTACGCGCTCCCACCGCCCGCCGCGGCCGCTCTTTCATTACGCCTGCGGGCCTTCTACGCTTTCTACTGCCTTCGTCTGCAACTCTTCCCTTTTTTCATTTAATTCTTTTATATTTATATATTTATTTCTAACATCGCAAAGCCTTTTTCCGCCCTTTTTTTTTTTTTACTTTTTGGCTTCCCCTTTTTGGCCCTATCCACGTGACATGCTGAGTCATCCACCTCTGTGACGTCGAAAGAGGAAAAAAAAGCCAAAAAAAGACGGCAAAAAAACAACGACAGAGCAAAAGAACAGCTTGAGGGCGACGACGAGGGCGAACGACAGCGACAGCGACGACGACAGCGACGAAGAAGAAGACGCTGTCGAACTGCTTTCTGGCCCCTGCCGTGGCTGCTACTTAATATATACGAACAGCTTCAGCTTCAGCTTCCCTCTTCCTGGCCGCGACGGTTGCTGTGGCCTTGATTCCCCCGATATGACGTAGCTGAGCCAGCCACAACGACCGGCCGATATATACAACAACCAACATCACCAAACGGCGGACGAGCTGCTGGGACTGCCGAGCGGGTGCTTGACGTGACATAGATACACACGAGACGCGGCTGGCACGCTGCTTCGGCCCTGCGAGATACCGTCTGAAGGTCCCCGGCGATGAGGTTCTCCCTCGCTGCTGCACTGGCCGTCCTCGGCGGTACGGCCAGTCTCTCCCAGGCTGCGCTGACGGAGGTCCACGAGGCTGGCCGGTGTGCTATCAGAGGCAACTGTGGGAAGCAGTCCTTCTTTGGCGGTGAGCTGCCGTGTCCGGACAATGGACTGGCCCATCAGCCTGTCCAGAGAGTCCGGCAACAGCTTGTAGAGCTCTGTGGGAAGAAGTGGGAGAACGGGCCGGTGTGCTGCAAGGAGGAGCAGGTAAGCACATGCACATGCTCTCTCTGTCTCTACCGCGTTGTTTGTGCTAACCGGCTCTAGATTAATGCATTGTCGACAAACTTGAAGCTGGCTGGGGGAGTCATCTCGTCCTGCCCAGCTTGCAAGGAGAACTTCTTCAACCTGTTCTGCACTTTCACCTGTTCCCCAGATCAGTCTTTATTCATCAACGTTACCGATGCGGCCGAGGTGAACGGAAAGCTGCTGGTCACCGAGCTGGACAATGTCTGGTCGGAAGAATACCAGAGCAATTTTTATGACAGCTGCAAGAATGTCAAGAACGGAGCTTCTGGCGGCAAGGCCATGGACTTTATTGGTGGAGGAGCGAAGAACTACGTGCAGTTCCTTAAGTTTCTGGGTGATAAGAAGCTTCTCGGCAGCCCGTTCCAGATCAACTTCCTGACCGAGCCTCGACGGCCAAAGGACGGCCAGGGCATGAAGCCGGTGTCCGATGAAACCAGATCCTGTGCCGATAAGAACGAGGCCTACCGCTGTTCGTGTATCGACTGTCCCAGTGTCTGTGCAGAGCTCCCGGCCATAAAGGGAGAAAAACCCTGCAAGGTAGGAAGCTTGCCCTGCCTGACATTTGCTGCAATCCTAGTATACTCCATCTCCCTGATGCTTATCGTGGTCCTGGCAATTGCCCGATCTGCTTTCAAACGGCACCGTTCCCGAAACATCCAGCGAGTTCGTCTTCTGCAGGACGATGCACCGAGTGACGAGGAGGAGGAGGCCGAAGTTATTGAGGATACCCGGATCCCTCAGCCATACATGCTCAATCATGTACTAGGAAATGCCTTTAACCGGCTAGGTGGGATCTGTGCAAGGTTCCCGGCATTGACGATTACTCTGACGGTCATAATATCGCTACTACTCAGCCTTGGCTGGCTTCGTTTTGCAGTTGAAACTGACCCTGTCAGGCTATGGGTAAGCCCTAACTCGGCTGCCGCAGAGGAAAAGCACTACTTTGACTCCAATTTTGAACCTTTCTACCGTATCGAGCAGGTCTTTGTTGTCAAAGACGTTGAAGCCGACAAGCCAGAACCGGTGTTGGATTACGAAACCTTGGGCTGGTGGTTCGATGTAGAGAACCGTGTCCGCAGAATGATCTCCTTAAACAGACGCCTAACCTTGGACGACGTCTGTTTCAATCCAACCGGACGTGGTTGTGTTGTCCAGTCAGTTTCTGGCTATTTCGGGGGATCCTTCGCCAATGTCAACCCAAACACTTGGAGGTCCCATCTGGAACATTGTGCTCAGTCCCCAGGCTCAAGAGACTGTCTTCCAGACTTCCAACAGCCTCTAGCGCCGGAAATGGTTCTGGGTGGGTTCAACGACACGGCTGATATCCTGGACGCCCGCTCCCTCATTATCACCTGGGTGGTCAACAATTATGAACAGGGATCAGACATGGAAGCCCGAGCCATGGACTGGGAAGAGACGTTGAAGCAGGTTCTCCAGGTTGTGCAAGAGGAAGCCTATGAGCGCGGTCTCCGTATCTCATTCAGCACTGAGATATCCCTGGAGCAGGAATTGAACAAGTCGACCAACACTGATGCCCGAATCGTTGTTATCAGCTATGTCATCATGTTCATATACGCATCCCTTGCGCTGGGTTCTACAACCATCAGCTGGAAGTCCCTTATTCACAACCCTAGCCATGTTCTCGTCCAGTCGAAATTTACGCTTGGAATCGTCGGTATTCTTATTGTCTTGATGTCCGTTTCGGCATCTGTTGGCCTCTTCTCTGCGTTTGGCATCAAGGTCACCCTTATCATTGCAGAGGTGATACCATTCCTAGTCCTTGCTGTGGGTGTAGATAATATCTTCCTCATAGTACATGAATTTGAACGAGTCAACCTAAGCCACCCAGACGAGGAGATTGACGAGCGCATTGCCCGAGCTCTTGGAAGGATTGGCCCGAGCATCCTCCTTTCAGCCACCACGGAGACCTTTGCCTTTGCACTGGGAGCCTTTGTGGGCATGCCAGCGGTAAAGAACTTTGCTGCATATGCAGCTGGCGCCGTGTTGATTAATGCTTTGTTGCAAGTCACCATGTTCATCTCCATCCTAGCTCTCAACCAGAAACGTGTAGAAAACCTGCGGGTGGACTGCATACCTTGCATTGCTGTCCGAAAGTCTGGGAGCACCGGCATTGCCGGTGAGGATAGGCCAGATTTCGGTGAGAGCATGCTCCAGTGGTTTGTCCGCAAGATTTATGCCACTAGACTGCTTGGTAAGAATGTGAAGGTCGCGGTGGTAGTGCTCTTCCTCGGCCTGTTTACTGCTGGACTAGGCCTGATCCCCATGGTGAAGCTAGGGCTGGACCAGCGGATTGCCATTCCAAATGGCTCTTACTTGATACCATACTTTAACGACATGTCGGAGTACCTACGCGTTGGTCCCCCAGTCTACTTTGTGACGAGAGATGTGAACATCACCACCAGAGAGCACCAGCAACAGGTCTGTGGCCGATTTACGACATGCGACGAATACTCTCTCGGTTTTGTCCTGGAGCAGGAGTCTAAACGATCAAATGTCTCGTACATCACAGGTGCAACGGCCAACTGGATGGATGACTTCTTCTACTGGCTCAATCCACAACAGGACTGTTGCAAGGAGAACGGCAAGACGTGTTTCGAAAACCGTCAGCCCAGCTGGAACATTTCTCTGTATGGAATGCCCGAGGGCGCCGAGTTCATCCACTATGCTGAGAAATGGCTCAAGTCACCCACGACCGAGAGCTGTCCACTTGGCGGCAAGGCCCCATACAGCAATGCTCTCGTCCTTGATTCCAACCGCATCACGACCAACGCAAGCAGCTTCCGCACATCTCATACTCCCCTGCGCACCCAGGCCGACTTTATCAACGCATATGCCTCTGCACGACGTATCGCCAACGACATCTCGACAAACCACGGCATTGACGTCTTCCCATATTCCAAGTTCTATATTTTCTTCGACCAGTACGCCTCCATCGTCAAGCTTACAGGCACTTTACTCGGGGCAGCAGTCGGCGTGATCTTCTTGATCACATCCGCCTTGCTCGGCTCCTTGTTCACCGGTGGAGTGGTGACGCTGACCGTAGTGATGATTGTGGTGGACATCATCGGCACCATGGCGGTGGTGGGCGTCTCCCTCAACGCCATCTCGCTCGTCAATCTGGTAATCTGCGTGGGCATCAGCGTCGAGTTCTGTGCTCACATAGCGCGCGCCTTTATGTTCCCTTCCGCCTCCCTGCTAGAGAAGGCTCCCCTGAAGCTCCGCCACCGGTCCGCCAGATCCTGGGCTGCCCTGGTCAACGTCGGCGGCAGCGTCCTCAGTGGCATCACCATTACCAAGCTTGTGGGAATCTGTGTCCTGGCATTTACTCGCAGCAAGATTTTCGAGATCTACTACTTCCGCGTCTGGCTGGCTCTAGTCATCTTTGCCGCCGCTCATGCTCTCATATTCCTGCCCGTAGCCCTCAGCTTTGTAGGCGGAGACGGTAAGCTAACCCTCGGCCCGCTTCTGCCATAACCTCCATGCTAACTTTCTACCAGGCTATGCTGATTCCCACGCTGTTGGCGGCCTCGAAGAAGACCTCGCTGCCCGTGGATACAGGTCTCTGCTGCTTGACGACGACTACTACGACTCCGATGACGAAGAGCTGTAGTCTTGTTCTATCTATCCATCTATCTTTATCCTTTATCTTTCCCTACTGCTTTGGCTGTATATTCTATCTGTACTCCCTTTTCCCTTTTGGTTATCAAGTATGTATTGGCCATAGACTTGCGAGTCTTGTATGCTGGAGTCTCCTCCCCCTACTCCTTTTTTTGGACATGGCAGAGTTCTTGATTGTGTCGTATATATACAATGCCATCTAATATCTTTATCTCCATCGAGGCGGCGCTGCCTCCCTGCCACCCCCTATTCTATCTATCTATCTATCCGTCCGCCCTTGAGTGTTACTAACGCTGCGAGCATAAT